CCGGGGACGTCGACACAACGACAAGTCAGCCGAATCAACCAGCCACGGGTCCATATCATAGGCCTGCGACATGACCTTGCAATCTTCAACATCCATGGGGGCCACGTTCTCAACAAGAGTGAAAACCGGACACCATGAGAAGAACCTCTTCAAGAGCTCCTCAACCCGCGGGACATGGGAAAACAGGCAGGAACGCACGTCACGCAACGCACCTCTCCGATCCGTGTTCAACCCCGACACCCCCTGACACGGTGGCCCAGCGCCAAGGAGGACCGCACAAACACCAGGGAATCTCAAACTCCTCACGCCCGTCAATGTTCTTCACGTCTTCAATTCCGACAACTTCCGGGAACCAGCTCTCAACCACCCTGCGGGCCTCTGGCGAAATTTCCGCAGCGACGTACCCAGCAACCGGCACCTGAAGAGCATCTACTGCAATGCGAAGAGCTCCAATGCCATCGAAAAGGGACACCACCAAGATCGCGCCTATACCTCATCCTGGGAGATCACATCTCCCCTGCAACTGGCCAAACTTGCCGCTATTCCATAAGGGCTAACACTCCTCGACACGCACAACCACCTCCAGTCGTGGAGGCATCACTTGCCGTCACCTTCTCTGAGATCGGCGTGCGAAAGTCCATGTAAGCTAACGGGGTCAAGGCAACAAAACGGATGATCTCATGTTCCACCTCCGGCCCTAAGCTAGCTCTCTGCGTCGGCTTGAACTTGTCCAATTCAACCACGCGTCTCCAAATCGCATTCAACCCCGCCAGAAGAGGGCGCCTGAACATCGCAATGTACACGAACCCCCCTCCGATCACCTGGAGCTCCCGCTGCGAAGCCTTCCCCTTGATCACTGCCTCACAAGCAAGCTTCACGTATCTCATCACCTTTTCGGGCTTGGGCCCGGCTCTTCCGAGCTCACCGTCCACCCAAGCGCCTTGAACCTCGGCCTTGACTGACTGCATCACTGCCTTTTTTGGGCGCCGGGGGAGTCCGAGGGTCTCATAGGTCTGCCTCACTGCTAGCGTCCAGGCTGAGGGAGTCCCAGCCACCAACTCCGCCAAAGACCTATCTACCTTCTTCAGCTCGTCATAGTTGTCAAGGTAAACCCTGAAAAGGTGGGGCGCACAACTTGAAGGGCGATCTCGCCTGATCTCTTGATGCCCAGAGGCCAGCCTTGCATCACCTTTCAAAGCCTGATTGATCACCCTCCTATGCACGTGCTGTGCGATGGCGACCGAGTTTATGAACCCCATGGGCAACACCATGTGACCAAATGCCAACCTGTGCCTTCGAACCCATCTGGGAGAGCCTCCGCTGGGACCTCCCGTCCTGCCGGAGTCCGGAAAAGGTAGAAAAAGCATCGTATGTCTTCAGATGAAGTCACCAGCAGCTGATTGTCATCAAGCACTATTGAGGACATGCCTATCACACTTGGTAGGGTTGAGGTATCTCCTACCAGACTTCGGCAACATCCGTTTGTGGGCACAAGATTCATGATGAGTCTACATACCTCAAACACATTTCCTGAAGTGTCTGTGGCCTGCTCCTGTTTGCTAACAGCAAAAAGTCCGTTCAACAAGGGTCGCCTTCCTCTGTGATGTAGTTCCCTGACACGCATGAGTCGACATACGCCCCGTCTCAACAGCCCCGAGCAGACTTCCGCCCAGTGGCAGGCCTCCACCATGATGCTCGGCATTTTTCCCAGGTGCTGATCCTGGGGCGGCAGGAGAAATTCTTCAAAATGCTGAACATAGGCCAGCGTACCCCCTTCGCAGAAATCCTCCAGATTGAGACTGCCTACCGCCTCTGGGAATGCGGCTTCAATACTGGCTTCAATCATTCGCCAATCGAACCGACGAGCGACCTGAACAATCTCACCCGAATAGTCTACCGAGCGGTTTTTGAAGAACTCCCCAAACTCAAGTTCCGGTACCTCACAACCTCCTAAATCCGACTCCTCAACCACCTTCTTCAATCTTCCAACCAAGTTCAACCGAGCGCTATCCTCCCTGTATCTCTCAATGGTCTTTGTCCCATACAATGAATTCAATGCTTGCACCAATGCATCTGCACAAAAAACGGGGGAGCTTGAGGCCTCCAGAGACGACGGAAGGGGCAAGGGGAACAAGTCCCCCTTGGTCTTGCTGCAACGCGTGTACATCTGTTCCTGCACCAGGAGAACCTTCCCAAGCTCCTCAAAACGCAAGTCCTTTCTTCGACATGTCGTGGCAAGGTGTTGACGACACTCTTCAAATGCTTGCCGCCTGCTTGCTTCCGACAACGTCCATCTCGACCCACTCACCAGTGGGGGGGCATTAGTCACAACACCATCAGACCTCTCCTTGCGATGTCTCAAGTGCTGGGAGTCTTGCTCCCCTCCAACATCACACGCAGTCTGCACAGCATCCTCAGCGCTTCCTGTCATCGCCTCACGACACTGGGAGACTACATTCTCCCTTGGAAAACTTCCTCTCAAACTGCCCTGCTCAGCCCTCATACTATAGCCCTTTGCACTCTCATCCAACAGCCTCTCTATTGCCCCTTCATCCAACACGCCCAATGTATCAACCAATGTATCACCCCTCAATGCACCATCCTCTCCAAGCTTGTTTGCATTGTCTTTTGGATCGTTTCTCAAACCTCCTTCGGAGTCTCTCTTGTGTCCTTTGCTACTCATTCTTCTTTTTTCCTTTTCCCTTCTCTCTCTTCCCTTTCTCACCCTTTCCTTTGTCTCCTCCGGAGGTGTAACGATCCTTTCCTTTCCCAGCTCCTTCTCCTCTCTCACGGCCTCCCGATCCACTGGCAGACCCGTATGGTCTTTGGGAAGCTAAGCAGCTAAGCGATCTCTGAGCTCCTCACGTGCCAGCTTTGCGGCTTCTTGTCCTTCGGGACCTTTACTTAGCCCAACAGAGTCAGCGCTGACCAACTCCAGCTGTCTCGCAACCGTCCAATGGCCTCCTCGAATCTGTTGATCGAGAGCCTTGACGCGCTGTGCCAGCAAGTCCAGCGCGCGTGCTGGATGTCCACGAAGTAGTAAGTCGGCCCCCTGCTTAAGGTGAGGAGCTCCTGACTCATCGACGGGGAGCAAAGCGGCTGCATCTCTGAGCGGTAATACTGCGAAAAGATCGGAGGAAGAGTCTTCCGATCCTGGGAATACAGGCTTCCGCTCTGAGTAAGCAAGGACCTCCTTCATATTCGCGACTGTTTGGGAGGCCAGACTTCCTGGTAGCGCCGTGTCAGGCGCAGGGCTCGCTTCCGCTCCTCAAATAAACCTTCACCGAACTCTTCATCCTCCGAGTCGCTTGAGGAGCTCGAGCTGCTCGTCTCCTCACTGGACTATCGCTTCCTCTTCTTTGAGCCCTTTCCTCCAAAGCGCTTTGCCTTCTTCAACAGCCTGCTGCGAGCCTCGGCGTCCGGGTCCAGGCAAGTCCCTTCATACAATGCTGCCAACGACTTAAGCAATGCATTGCTCCCCTCGTCCCCTGTATCCTTCTTGCTGCTCCGCTCCTTCTCTGTTTTCTTCGCCTTCTCCTTGTGCCTCTTCTTCTTTTTCTTCTCCTTCACCTTCTTCTCACTGTCCACGCTGGGAGACCTCTTCTCCCCTGCAATGCAGCCCTGCAACCCCAGCCTGCCTCTCCTCATGAAGCGTCCGCAACTTTGCAAGCTCGTCATGCCGAACTCTGCTCGACTCATCCCCTGCTGCTGGTTTTGGGTCCACCCCCTCATACTGGATCTGCCAGGGTTTCTTCTCCCCGTCAAGCAACCAGTAGCCAGCCGCATGGATGATGTCCAGGCCCGTCTCTTTTTGCCCACAATCAGGCCCACAAACATGGAGCTGAAAGGTGCGCTTCTGAGGGTCGGACAGGAGCTCCATCATGTGGTCGCTTTGAGTACCTGTTGCACGAAAGCTCAAAAACTCTTCATCTTTTCCAAGGCCCTCCACATAGCCTGCCAGCTTGATGTGCCCCTCATAGTAGGACGCCTGAGCCAGCTCTATGAGTCCGAGTGTCCTCAATTGCACGGCGGCCAGCTCTCTGAAATAGTGGAGCCGGGTCACCTTCTCCTCTCGTCACTCCTTTATTTTTTCCGACCCACCACCTTGGGTGTGAGCTGTAGGGCACTCTTCTACTACCCAGCCTGGGCCTCGCGGGGCTGGTGGCCTCCTTGGGGGCCTCACTGGAGGTGCTCGCACACGGGGTTGGCGCACCGGTGGAGGAGCTGGCGGGGGCCCAGAGGCGTGTGTGGGCTTCGCGGCCTGGCCGGTGACTTTGGCTTCGGAGCCTCACTTCTTTTTGCCTCACGCACTCGAGGCCCAGTCACGGAGCTGCTGCCCGACGGGGACCTTCTCCTCCGCCGATCCTTTTCTTTTTTCTCTCTCCGCTCACGCCTCCTCCTCTTCTTGTCTCGCCCTCTGGAGCTGGGAGAGCTGCTCGATCTCGGATCTCTCCTTCTTCGCACTGCTGGGTTTCTCTGGCTCAACCTCCACCTCCTCCTCCTCTGCTGGTGGCGCACTCTTTCTTTTGGAGGATGCTGCAACCTTTTTCTCAGATCGCTCAGCCAGGGGATCTGGGTCACAGTGACTTGGCCTGGGGACTCGGACGGTCTGGGAGCTGTATCCTCGGCTGGTGCTCCCTTCAGGTGCCGCTGGAACGGGAGGAGGTGGTGGCAAGGGTAGTCTCCTTGGACCCTTGCTGGAAGCGGATGGGCGGCTTGGGAGAGGGGGCTGCTGGTCTCTGGTGGGCTTGTCTGGGGTTTTGGCTGGTCTGTTGGATGTTCTAGGGCTTTCACTCTTCTCGGGCTCTCTTGCTTCCTTCTCGGGCTTGTCCTGGGGCTTCTCTTCCTTACTGGCTCTTTTCTCCTGGGCTCCTTTCTCGCGTTCGGTCAGCAAACCAAAGCAGCCCTCGTAGAAGACGACTGCTGACTCGTCCTTTCCAGGTGGGATCACGTTCCTGACCGATACCTGGAGTAGATACGCCTTACGGCACGGGCCGCAGGTCGTAACCGAGGTGTCTCGCACTACAAAGTGCCGACACCGGTCACACACTGGGAGGGGGGGGGCTGGCCCCCCTCTCCCATTCACCCTCTTTCTTAAGCCCCAATGCTACGGTGAAAATTACAACTGACTCTGTGATTAATCATGGGGTCATGAGATCATATATAGTTATATATCATGTATAAGTGTGGGGGGTTAGCATCTATGACACTATGAGGTTGCTTCCTGGACCGAAGTGGTGAAAGCCATAGAAGCCAGGCTATAGAAGCTCTCGAATCAAATGAGGACGCCTGGGCCACGGGAAGTCTATCTACCTTTTGCGCGTTTGAGGGTGTGCAAGAGGGCTCCCCAAGGCTGTGAGAAAAATACTAAGCACCTTCCACGCCATCGTGGGCACTGTTTTGATGAAAAAGGATGAAAAAGGGTCATCTTGTGCTCCCCCACCCAATGGTCACAGCCGAGCCTTTGCTTGGACAGTGCAGATCCAATGCCTGGCGACACCATGTCAATGTCATGGTTCCATGGAAAGAGCAGGAATCTCAATCAAGCACACTTGCACGGACTTGCTGGAAGAAGGAACGGGATGGCAATCTAAAAAGCCTGCTCACAGCATCTAAGTCTCCTTTCACAGCTTCGTGTGCTGCTGAACCGATTATAAGAACTATCAGTAGTACATAAAAGTGTATTACATACCTATTCTGGTGGTAAAGCAACCCCCACTGCTCAGAATGCACATGGCTATTTCTACGAACTGCTGCAGCTCAAGTGATGATAAATGATAGAGTCTTAAAGCCCCACCCACCAAACATGATCACTCCCGAAGCCTGTTCTTACGTTGCTACTGGCCCTGTAGTTTTGAGGCTGTGTTGGCTGAATCTCGGGTGTTTCTGCTGCGGTGGCAATCCTATGCATCTGCAGCTACTCTGTAGCTACACCAACATGTCAGCACCACGAACCTCTAGATGGGCTCCTAAGTTAGTTTGATGACTGGTTGGAATCTGCATCAAGAACTAACGGCTGAAAAGTGCGGAAGCTTTTTACTGTTCCCGTACGTATGCAGTGGCAAAGGGTTGGCTTTGTTGAAGACTTTATTGCCATCTCACCACAGCGGTTGCCTCGCCCACATGCGCTCGCACCACCTGGCTGGAGCCAAGAGAAAGGCCCTTTATCTTCCCCACTTGATCAGACCATGTGGCATACTCCAGATCCTCCTTCTAGCCTCCAGAATTCCTGGATGACTGGGTAAATCCCTAAAATGGCGGACCGCAACAAAACCACAACAAAACCCTTCTCCTTGCTCCTCCTGGCAGCCAATTCGCTCCATCCTCACCTTCACGATGTCATCCAAGAGACCGTGCAAGGCGCCTCGCTTCATTGCCCCCTCTGCGCCTGCTTCTTCGCTTTGGTGAACAGCGTGAGCAACGCCAGAGGTTGCCATCAAAACTTCGATTCACTCAGTTGATTGGCATGACCATGGTGGATGCTCTTTGGGAAGACTACTAAACTACCTTTTGTCCAGTAAAGGAGGACTCATAGCATCCGGATTTTTTATGGTTGAAGTCAAGCCGAGCAGTCTCGAAAACTCGAGTTCCGAGGTTTTTGCGTTCTTCGCCCATGAGTAGCACTTTTTGAAGCAAATAGGTCGTGCATAGCGCAAGCCACGGCGGCTCACATGCGCATGGGGCTTCTATCTATGTGGAGCCCATCATGTGGAGCCCGTCCGCACAGCTTGGGAAAATGCATTGAGCTGCGTCCGTTGGAGCTGGCCAGTCTTGCTCATGAGCCCGCAGCAGCCCTTTCCACAATCTGCTGACACTGCGACTGCCAAACCCAACAAACGACTGTTTCCTTTAAACCTGTCGCGCACACCCTTGGCTTTGCCAAGGTGATTGGAGCTTCTACTTATCCGATGAGAAGAACCGCCATGAGTCATGGCTTGTTTGCTGACAGCCGACAAAAATGGGGGTTGTTAATGTACATATGTGATTTATGCTGAGGCTTGTTGATGGAGCTTCTGCTCTGAAACTTTGAAGCCCTTCTCTCGGACTATGTACATGTTGCATTTAGCACCTTGCAAGATCCCCCAGAAGCACTTCCAGGGGCTATGAAATCATCCACACCTGGCATGGACTGAGGTTTCACAAGCCAAGGTCAGCTCTTTCGCCATTCAGCTGATCAAACTCACCCAGCTCTACTGCACCCCTCAAAAACGTCTTGCAGAACCCGCTTTAAAAACAAGAGCCATTTCTATCCTTTTCTTTCCTGTTGTTTGAAAAACATCCTGCAAGATTTGGGATTCTACTGTACTTATACTTGAACATGCCTGAACCAATGGGCCCCTTCAACATCTCATGTCAACCTCGCTCCTCACCGAGCTCGCTTCGCTGAGGTCGGCCGTGCTGCGGCAGACCGGGGCCGCTCTGGGAAGCTTCGCGCGGCTGAACCTGGCCGCGCCCGGGGACCACCTGACGTGGAGCTCGCCTCCACCTGTGGCGCAGAGGGCGCACAAGCTGCATCCGACCTGAATCCAAACAGAAGCCATGTTGGCAATTTCAATCTGAATTCCAGGGGTACGGTATTTACAGGTATTTACCAGGTTCACTTCTTGCTAAGTCACTTCCACAACATCAATGTCCCTCCATCAATCAAGGTTGAACCCATCAAGGATGGGCGGATCGGCGTGCTCTTCTTCTTCTCCTTGGGCACTCCGTTGCCAAGTTCCGGCCGCTGAGGCCGTTCTGGGCGTTTGGGGAGCGAGAAGGGGTCCTCGCCAGGATGCCCGCGCATCATCGAGCTGCCAGTGAAGGGCCTTGAATATCCGGCTCAAAGCAAAACGGAACGCCTGGGAGCTAGCAACTCCGCATTACAAAGGAACTCTTTGGTTGAAGATGTTGAAAGAAAGTGGACACGTGACATGTGACTGTCTGACAGACTATTGACATAAGCGAATTCAGGAGGCAGTGTCTCAGCCAGCCGCTCACCAGAGCTATTGGAGTTGAGCGATGGGCGTCGGCTGTGGGAACTAGCTTCACTCCTCTTGCTGGGCAGTCGCTCCTTAAGGCCACTCTCTTCAGCCACTCTCTCAAACTGAGTCCTGGTCGTCGATGTGTCCGCCAAATGAACATTCTTTTGCACCTCTGAGCTTGGTTGTGTGGCAAGCCGTTCTTGGAAACCAAATGTCCCAGTAGCCACCTGCACATCGCCATCACATGCTTGACCAGAATGTTGCAAACCACCATCAACAGCAACTCTCTTTGCAAAAGGAACTGCCGAAGAAGAAGCCTCCTGCAT